CAGTTAAGATGTTGTTACGTCATTTTGCATTTCAGGTGAACGCTATGTATCTATGTATGTCTCAATAGCTACTCGAAATTACTCGTGAGAATGGCGGTACCCGATATTGTGTCGAGAGCTCGATTGCTCGATTTCCCGGGTATAGAAATCCTCGGGAATGTGCGTTAGTGCAGTTAGTGTTAACCAGACATGGATAAAATGTCCCTAATTAAGCATATCTATTAATACGTTCTTACACACCTACTAACGTTCTTTTTATACCCGCGCGTTCACTACATGAAGAGAGGGTATTGTATCTTTACTCATCTAAAAGCATAGACAGATGACAGCGTTGATCCGGATCAATTGGTTAATTTTGAATTATCTCGAGAATTAACAGCACTTGATCCGAAATTAATTCAGATCATCGTAATTTTTCGATGACAACACGACAGTCGGGTCTACGTAACTGGAACGACCCAGATTTATATTTGGCCAAGGACTGTCACTCCAACAACACTCTCCAAAAACTCTTTGGGGAACTTGTAACACTGACCGAAACTCAGGGAGCGTAGAATACAGAAAATATGCACAGCTAGCATGGACATCTACATCTACCTTACCATCGGTAATGCACCCACCACCAACTGCGTGTTTAACTTCCTTATCGACGATCATCGACTTCATAACAGGGAATCGATAACTTCGATAACGATTTTTAATCTGTAGTTAGTGTTAACCAAACATTGAGTAACTAGCCCTTATTCAGATAGGAATCCGATTCAAAGTGAATAAGGAGTTATTTGAATTAGTTGAATTAGTATGGTGACTGTATTATCGATGACAGACCAGTTTTTCATATTCTTTGCATTCTACGATCCATGAGCAAACAAATGCGTAACAAAGCAGCCGATTTCTTCATCCACGGTAGGCGAGAGTGAAAGTTGCGTACTACATTTCCTTAGGATCTGGGTTCGCAGCACGGTTATTATTTTATTTTTTATTTTATTTGATTTATTAATTTTATTTTTCTTTATTTTGTTTTATTTTATTTCAGATAATTAATTTTATTATTAGTTAATCAAAAATTTTAGAGTTTAATTTAATTAAAAAAAGTCAAAAATAACTGTGTAAAAACTACATCAAAAAATATAGAAGTTATAATTGAATGAATAAAAAAAATTAAATGAATATTTTACTGGCAGTTGGACTTGAACCCCCGTCTGTAAAGGCAAAATTTTATCAAATCAGCGCGCCGTTGATCCGGATCAACTTTGCCATCTGTCTATGCTATTAACTCGTTTATGAAAAGTACCTAAAATCTAACAATTTTCTAGCAAAATCACAAGTAACAGGCATTAATTTTTATTGAAAAAAGTATTCATGTAATTAACTTCACACATACATATACAAAGAAGTACAATGTAAAAGTATATATAGGCTTATTCACTTTATCTCTTATACATTGCCACCTTTCATTCGATTATGACACGGAAAGACGTAAAGCTTCGTTATAAAAAAGATATGCGTTGCAAAAATAGGGACTTATTTGTTGTTTGGTTGAAAAAAATCCAAAACAAAGGTAAATGCATAAAAATTATAAGAAACAAGTAACGAATTATCTACCGACGCAGGTATCTAATATCGTCGTTTCAACTCTCTCTGAACTACCTTTACATGATAAGTAGGAGTGTTTACTAGTGTTACCAGATTTTTTTCCAGCCATACGGGACAAACGCATAATTCGTCCCAAAAATACGGGATTTAAAAAAATTTAACGGGACAATTGAGAAATAAAGGATTTGCTTTAAAAGCCCATATATTAACAAAGGTGATCAATTTTAGCGAAGTAATGTTCAGACAATACTTTTTAAATTATACAAAAATATGTATGTGCATAAACATGTATATAAAATTAAAGATTAAAATTAAGCTTACGATCCATGGTCCACAAAATTGTATAATTGTCAAGTGCAAGTTTCAAGTCGCTAAAACTTACTGTTCATTTTTTAGATTTTTTTTTGTGGAGGGTGTTACTCATTTTCTTCCATATAAAAGTCCGTTTTGTTCATGCATTATATGGAGGAAAATTCGAAACACCCTCCACAAAAAATTCTAAAGAATCAACGGTAATTTTTAGCTATATTTCTCTTACAGAGTTGCTTGCAATAATACTCGCTAAGGACCTACTCACAATAGCCGCATTAAACCATGACCATGTTGAGTAGAAGTTTAAATGTTGAAAGGAAATTTTCGAACACACGGGAAAAATCATGTTCCGGCGGAACATTTAAAATTTAATGCAAAATACGGGAGGTTCAGGATAATACGGAACATTTGGCAACACTGGTGTTTACCCGATTTCGAACGTTTTCGATGCAGAGTTAGGCTTAATGATATACATAATTGAACCAAGTTAGGTAAAAATCGATAAAGTGGAGACCGAGATATAACTTTGTAGTCATAAAGTGGGCGGTGCCACAACCAATTCCTAGACGTCTATAGCAGTCTTATATATTGTTAGGAGATTGTTGTAACTATTAACTCCCTCAAAGTAAAGCGTCCTCAGTTATTGAAATATCAGAGTTTTCGTATTTCTGAATTTTAGTCCGGTTTGAATATTTTTCAACAAATTGCTATTATTAAGTGCGCCGAGTTTGGTAGAAATTGATAAATCGGTTACCCAGATACACATTTGTGGTCATAAGTGGGCGGCGCCACGCCCATTATCAAAAAATTTATAATCTAATTCTCTGATAAGTGGTTATTGCAATCTACGATTTTAAGTGAATGAGCTCCGGTTGTAACTGATTTATCGCAGTTTTCGTGTTTCTGTAAATTACCATTATATAGCAAGTGGGCGTGATTATTGCCCGATTTCAAAGATTTTCAACAGATTTCTTTGCTAGATCTTACCCAGAGCTCGTACCGAGATTGGTAAGGACTGGTGAAGCGGCTACTGAGATACAGCATTTCATCATAACTGGGAGGGGTCACGGCCATTTTACAAAAAATGCATAATAATTTACCACAATTCTACTTCACGTACTTATTTTCAATAATTTGCATGCAATATTTACAGAAATATCGTAGTTTTTGCATTTTTAAAAAATGCCCTTATTTGGGAAGTGGGCGTGGTTACAGTCCGATTTGGGCAACCTACATACCAAATTTCGTTGTGATATCTAAATTTTTGCTGAAGTTATCGTATACACGGTCAGACGGACGGATGGCGCGACGGACGGACAGACAGACATGGCTTAATCGGTTTATCTTTTCATTCTGAGCATATCTATCTCGATTCATTTTGGCTGTTACAAACAACCGTTATGCGAACAAAGTTAATATACTCACGTGCACAAAGTGTGTCGGGTAAAAATGTTTAAGTTACACTTTAATTAATTTTGTATTACAGAGATCGGTTCACTAAGGGCGAAGATATTGAAAATCTGATAAATCAATCTTTCTTAAATCTCAATATGCCGGAAACTTGTTATATCTCGAAAACCGTTCTGCTTTCACAGAATGCGCCTATCATATTTGGATTCATCGGAAAATTTTACATGGGGATACATCACCCCACATACCACAATTATGAGAATTTTCATTTTTGAAAATTTCTTGTGTCGTATAATTTATTTAAGATCAACAGCACTAAATGCAAACTTTAAAGTCCACTTAAAAACAATCTTCTTTTGATACAGTTATATTCTCAGATTCTTTTGGATTTTCTGATTAGTTAGATTTTGTCGGACGGTTTATTATACTTTACTAAGGTGTTCTTTTTTTAAACTGTATGTCCTTATTCATAACCAGAGAACGGATTTTACGGAAATTGCCTTTTTTTCTGCTGAAGGGAAGAGTATATTCAACGGGGACATTCCCTGATTCCATATATACACATTTGATGTTGCCTTTTTTGCCTTTTTTAAGATATTTGCCTATTGTACCTTTAAAAAAAGTGATTATAGCGAGGAAATAATCCTGATAATATAAAAGTTTCAAAAGTTCCATATTTAAATTGGACACCACTTGTATCAACTCACGTCGAACGCACGTGGCTGTATTAACGCCCGTTCTGTTTGTGAGCGAAAAACTAAAAATCATAGAATAATTATTTCCGCCGAGCGAAATAATAAAACTCAAATATTAATTATTATTTTTAATCTTTATATTAGAGTAAACTCGAAAAATAAAAATCGTTGTAAATTCCAATAAGACATGCGAACACGAATACGTGAGTATATTTAAAATTGTTTTACGACGATTACAACTTGTTGATTTTTTTTGTTAAAATTAAAAAAATTATGATTATTTTCCATCCCTGGTTTTTAGTTTTTTGTCGCTGAGGTCTGGATTTTTTTAAGAACTTTGAAATTTCAAAGATATAATACATTAAAAGAAAAAATCATTTAAAAACTTGACTGTAATTTATGTAGAATAAAAATATGGATAACAAATGGAAGAGAGAAGAGAAAGTGTTCGGTTCACAAGGACGAAGAGGTATCGAAAATTTCTACCAAACCATCTAAAGTCTCAGAAGGCAATATTTATGCTTAAAATGAATTTACCCAACGAATTGAATGTAATATATTCCGGACCAAAATATGTAAACTTTAATTCACAAGGCAAAACATACAAATGCTAATTGTAAAATGCTTCTTGGCTTCGAGACGCTATATTTATCTTCAACTGTGTCCTAATAACCGTAGTTAAGTTCGGATACTCTTATTTTTGGTTAAAAATTTAAATCATCGAGTAGGTATTCACTAAAGTCCTGTGAAGCTGTTTCAAAAACCATTGGGCAATCTTTAACTGTACTCATATTTTTTGCCATCACAACAAAAATAATCTTTAAGAAATAACTTTTTAACATCACATATGGAAATGCACAAAAAGATTTAAAGTTTAAAGGTAGTGCTTTTGGCCTTTTTTCTAGTTCGATCAATTCACTAAGAAACACTTTCGAGTCCACTTCTCTTAAGTCAATAACTTTTAGATTAAATATTTCTTTTTAATACCTTCATTTTCACTCGGAATAAATAGAATTTGAAAACAAAAACGCGTACCGAACCCGTTCAAGGTAAACGAATCAACAAGACGGCAACGGGAAGTTCTTGTTTGAAAATAGCGTCACACACACTCTCGGTACTTAGCGTTCTGTGAAGTTCCCTCAGCCAGGTGCAGTTAATGTAATTTTGGTGTTGAAACGTTTCGAATCGTTCGCAAGAAACCGTTGAACTGATGTCTGCCTCCAATGACCAAAACCATTTATATACGCAGCTAGGCCCAAAAAGCCCACCAACCGCCGATTTGCAGCCACACAGAGATATGCAGATGCTGAGATGCAATAGTCGATGGTAGCTGGCAGCGCAGCATCCACACTGAGAAGCCGTAACTGAACATAACATAACGGGACAGCGGCGGCAAGTGCAGTGTGGAACTGTATCTCCAACTGCAACAACAACTAGAAGGCGTAAGTACTCGCAACATAAAGCGAATGAATGAAGTAAATGCCAAAGACGCAGAAACATCGAAGAAGAAGCCGGTTGCCGAGAGCAATCTAGCATCGAGCTGCCAACAACAACAGCGAAATTTATGGCAGCAGCAATGGCGGCATAGCTAGCGCGACCACTTTGGTAGCAGCGGCTGCAGCCTGACAACCTTTGCATAAACCTGCCGCTTGGCTACAAAACGTTTGCAGTAAATGTGTAAACTCAAATTCGCTCAGTGCGGAGTTAAAATGAATCGCGTCAACTGCAGAGGTGCAAAGGTGCGGCCAGGTGATGGCAGTCAATTGACAAGAGCCCGACTTAGTTAGCGTACGGGGCAGGTTTGGTAGAAGAGAAGTTTTTGGCGTTTCTGTTGGCTCAGATGAGATCAGTGCTACAATTGCAATTGGCTGTATAGTGCATGCATGCATTCATATGATAGTGTTTGTGTTGCTGTGGCTATTTTCTGTGTGTGTTTTTTTTTTTGTTGCACGGTAAGCAAGAATTGATTACATTTCTAGCTAAATGCCGCCAAAATTTGGTTATGCATCTACTATAGCCCTCCGACATAGTCATTGAAAGACATTGAGTGTTTGTGGTACACAAATAATTAAATTTATAATTTTTTTTTTTTTTCAAACACGAATATACCTACACGAATGTATGCGGTATTTTATGACTGTCACAGCATTATCGTTAATTTTGGTACACCTGCTACTCATGGTGGAATAATACAAGGTGTTGGATATTGACAGCGTTCTCGCTTTAATCTGCCATCTTGGCTCCCTTAGCAAAATCGGTGTTTCCCTCTTGAAAAAACTACATTTTACCGCCTTTAAAAAAACTAAACTACCTCATTCCCTATTCCAAAACTGATTTGCAATCACTGAACAATTCTTTGACATTTACTTTATTCTTATTCGTTGACAAAATTAAATTAAAAATTAAAATCATTAATTCGACAAAAAACATTGGCTTTGTGTATTCTCCAAAGGCCTAAAATCAGCCAAATACCCTATGTGGGTCGGCTTAATCAGTAAAACGTGACAGTAGTTGACTTTTGAGGTTAATATATCGGTCTTGAGCTGGTACGGCTTTTAAAACATCCGCAGCTTCCTTTAAAGTATCGCTGCTAATTGCTGAGAGGACCAGATTATATTTCCGGACATAAAATGTGGTCTTATACGACTGAAAGGTGGCCTCAATTTGTAGAAACCATTTGTTTGGCATCTCAGTTCAGAACGGTCGCAGCTTGCATTGCGACACAAGCTCCACATCTTTAGTTGGCATTTTGTTCGATGAAATATTTTCCCCATCCGTCGATGCGCCCTTTTGTCGACTCCGTCATGTTGTAACGACTCGGGGTCACCACTAATTTTTTGATGGCGAAATTTTTGTAAGTTATATCAATCATCTTATAGTATTTTCGGGTAAAAATTAGACCCCCAAGCGGTTTTGGAAGTTTGACTATAATTATAGGACATTGTGTTTAATAAACTAAATTACCATTTATTGCATAAGTGCTACGAAATATATACTACTTTCGCAAATTTAGCTTATCATAATATACCGTTTGTTACTATTTATATGCAAAATTTGATATGAAAGAGTACCAAATTTCGTACTACTTCGCAAAGCGTGCTTCTTTTCTTCCCGTTTCTCTCGTTCTTCCATATTACAACCTTTTGTAAGGGAGCCGTCGACATGAGCTGTCACTACGTACAACACCTTGTATAATTCCACCATGCCTGCTACTAAACATTTTTACACTTTTTCTTTGGTCGGCATTTCATTATCTCACTGTCGTTAGATTGTTGTTACTTATTTAACAATAACTATCGATTATTCAATTATTTTGCATCGTTAAATAAATTGCCGTAAAAATGAAAGTGACACTGGCAAGGTTAATTACAATCCATTCAATAGAAATTTGTATAATGAAACTAGGGCAATACGCACACCATAAAAGTAGATGAGGGAACTTTATGTGCGGTATTTGTGAATGGGTTTTCATGTGTTTATACATTAGACTGACCCACGCTCCATAGGATAGTGTAAGAGGGCGTGTATGTTTCATGTTTCATATCGACGGCTGAATGGAAGATCGACCTACCGCAGCATCCGGTTCAAAAGCGCCCTCTCTGAAGTAGGGCATTCTAGAGCATTTTCTGAGATAGCGCGTTTTCGATCCGGCTACCGAGATAGGTCGATCTTCCACTCAGCTGTCGATATGTACTTTCACTCGGAGACATACATAGTTGTCTTTGAGTGAGTGTCAGTAGGAGACACACACCCTCAATTAGGGTTCCTTTTCAGTGAGAAATCAGGGTATTTCTGATGGCATTAACCAACTGAACCAATTACTGCCCCGAGCTAAAGTGGGGAGATCCAAGAGTTTCACCTCCGCTATCTCCACCAGGCGTGATCCCAAGGGATTGAGATGCTTCGACTGTAAGCTCGGACAGCGATACAGAAGGTGGTCAATTGAATTCCTCCTCCTCATCCTCATAGTTGCAGCTGCTGCAGCGCGCAAATGTTAGTATTCGCCATCATCGCTGCATTCGTTCAATAGCAAAGTAATCCGCGATGCCGCCGATAAGGACTCTTACTGCAGATTTAAGTTTGAGAGGGTAATATGTCCATTTCTTACTAAGCCGCGGCCGTAATAATCTTGAGATCTAACATTCTTCCCGCCTGTTCAATAAGTCCCAAGTAATGGCTATGAAGTATTCTTCAAATTGTCTAAACTCATCACTAAACGGTAGTAGTCCGCCTCGTTGACATCTCGCCGAATCTTTCCCTTCAATATTGCTAAGTCCGATGACCCAGCAGATAGCGACATTGATATGGCTCATACAAAACCCGAATTTACTATTTGTGATTTGATTGAATCCAAGTTAGCTTGACTATCGACAAGGATAGTATTTTCCCCTCTGGCACCGCGCTATTCAGTGAAAGGCTCTTCGCCTTCTCTACAGCGTAGATCTCTGTTTGGAAGACACATTCCATTCTTTTCTGCTTGGAATCCTAGTAGGCATCTTAATATTGAAATCCCAAACCGGTATGATGTAGTCAGTGCTGGCTTCTATATCAGGTTTGATTCCATTAAGCCGGGCTCATGCCCGGTGGTTTCCCAAGTATTGGCTTCCCTGAGTCTGAGGTTGGCTTTTGCGGCCGTACCTGAACAAAAATATGAAGCGGTTGCAGATGAAATATCACGTTAACCTCCTCCTAAAGTGTGCTTTTCACTGCTTCCGATATGCCGAGACGTACGAGTATTTGCACTTTCTCGATTACTTTCCTATTATCTGAGTATTCCCTTGCCCGGAGCAATCAATCAAACTAAGGTTCTATTGATCTGATGACTGTGGAGTAAATACCATAGCTGATGTACGGTGAAAGTCCTTTTTCACGTGTTGTAGTTAGGCTGCTATGCCCTTCTTATTTCTCCCCACATTTCCTTTCTAGTTGATTTTGAAATCAGGAATGATACTGAGATATTTTGCCTCGGAGGAGAGATTCAAAGTAGCTTCGCCCAATCCCGGCAGAGAAAAATTGGAAACTTTTGTTTTCCTGATAAAAAATACCAATTTGGTCTTGGAGGTCTTAACGCCCAATCTATTCCACTTAACTTATACATAGGTAGGTCAAGATTAGTTCCTTTCAGGGATGGGCGAGCTTAGGAAAATGAATAATTTAATTAAAAAACAAAATAAAAATAAGAATACATTTTCATTCATCATTCAAGTAATTTTATCAAAAATAATAATATTGAAAAACGTGAGTGCGCGTGATTTACAAAATCATCATCGTGAGCGTGTGTGAGCGTGAGCCAAAATCACTTACGCTCCCACCTCTAGTAGGAATAAGGTTAAAACAGCTCCGTATGTTTGTGGCACATTGCGATGTATCGAAATGCGAATTAAAAAAATTGTGTTGTGATTAAATAGACCTCTTCTAAACCTTTCATTCACGCACGACGTACTTGTTGACCTTGCTTACACAACAACAACGCTTGCGGACGATAAAACTGTGCTAACTAATGGAAAATATGAATATAAATCCACTGCAGAGTTTCAGTCGACTGCAGAGTACGTCTAACATTGGGCAAAGAAATGGCGGAGGCATAAAAGCGAGAGGTACGAGTACATATGTATAAATAGATGTCTATGCTAGTATATAAATTATAACTCCATTTCACTTTTCACAAATTATTATTATTGTTGAAGATAGGGAACTGCAATTTTGAGATAGTATCGGAGAGAAATTTTAGTATTAATTGTACTGCGGTCTCGGTTATAAGAAGGCCAACAAGTGTTTTCTCTGTTTACGCATCAGGGCAGAGCACTATTTGAAAATGTGTCGCACAGTTTTGATATCCATCCTACAAAATCTGCATAGATATCATGGCATTAAATCGCCAGTTTAATTAGGTTTTGTTCAGCCTGCAGTGTCCTGTCAGAATTTCTGTAATAATTCTTTAGTTGTTCTTGGATAAGCTGCTGATTTCTCAAAGCGTATTATTTTCTGCTGAAAACATAATCGTTTTTTTTTTATTTTTTTTATTTTATTTTTTCCTCAGAACATAATCGTTATTTTTGTACCCGAACGCACTTGTGCACAAGGGTATTATAACTTTGTTCTCAAAACGGTTATTTGTAACCGCCAAAACGAA